TTGTGTGAAAGAGAAGGGGAGTGCCTCTTCTAAGATGGTACTGGAAGAGGGAATCCCTCTTGTGTGAAAGAGAAGGGGAGTGCCTCTTCTAAGATGGTACTGGAAGAGGGATTCCCTCTTTTGTGTGTAAGAGGGAGTGGCATGCCTGTTCTCGAAAGGCACCCGCTAAGCGTGTCCAAAAAGAGCCTCTGGGAGACAGAGGTCTTAGTCCTGCAGCCCGTTTCCCGTTATTTCGGTGAACAGCAACCAACAGGCTGTTCCTCCTCGTTTGTTTCCAGGCATTTGGACATCTCCCGAGACCGTCTGTTTAGTTATTACAAATTCAAGCTGACCCGCAAAGTTCTGAACCTCTTTGTGGAGAACTTGGTGAACCTGACCTCGCTGGACATCTCGGGACACACCATGCTGGAGAATTGCACCATCTCGAGCATGGAGGAGAAAGCAGGCCAGACGAGGTGAGACCACCAGGCCAAACTGATGGCACCAAAGTTTATGTTGACACGTTGCTGCTGTGGTATCATGCGGAAGCATCACATGTAGCAAGTACGACTGCTTTAGATGAATGAAGCCATCGAGTGCTAAAGTTTTAGTATTTACTGAACAGTAGCAGTGTGCTGGGACCTGTGTAGATCATAGTAGCGAGGCTTTGGAGGCTGGTGAACACAAGAAGCTGCCTTATACTGAATCGGACCCTTGATCCATCGAAGTCAGTATCGTCTGCTCAGACTGACAGCTGCTCTCCAGGGTCTCAGGCAGAGGTCTTTCACATCACCTCCTGCCTGATCCTTTTACCTGGAGATGCTGGGGACTGAACCTGGGACCTTCTCCATGCCGAGCAGAGGCCACAGAGTCGCAGCCCCTCCCAGTCATCCCAGAGAGCCAGTTTGGTGTAGTGGTTAAGTGCACGGACTCTAATCTGGGAGAACCAGGTTTGATTCCCCACTCCACACGCAGCTGCTAGATGACCTTGGGCAAGTCATAGTTCTGACAGAGCTGTTCTTGAAAGAGCAGTTCTCGAGAGAGCTCTCTCAGCCCCACCAACCTCCCAGGGTGTCTGTTGTGGGGAGGGGAAGGGAAATTAGTTTGTAAGCCGCTCTAAGATTCCAAGTGAAGGGCAGGGTATAAATCCAATCTCCTCTTCTCTTCTTTGTCCATCAGTCTGTGTCTGACTTACTTGCTCAGACTACATATTCTAAGTGAATAAATCCGTGTCTTAAAAAGGCATGCTCATTCATTTCAAAAGAGAAAATATTTCATAGGAGCAGGGGTCATTTCCTGCAGAAGCGCATAGGAGCAGAGCTCCGGCAGTAAAGAGCCCAGGGGGTGGGCACATGCAGCAAGCCCCACCCCCTGCTCCCAGCAGCCCTCAGTCAGAGCAAGAAGCAGCCAGGTAAGCTGCAGAGCCCCCCCCCCGGTCCCCTGGTCCAAAACAGTCCAGTGGCACCTTTAAGACCAAGTTTTATTCAGGTACAAGCTCTCCCTCCTCTGCGAGGACAGATCTGCACGTTCCCCCCCACCCCAATAGCTAGCAATCCAAAACAGTCCAGTGGAGCCTGAGCGGTGATGTCAGAGGGTGTGGCGTATGCAAATAAGTTATGCAAATAAATTATGCTAATGAGCCCCTGCATCTCTTTTTCTACGAAATGACCCCTGCGGAGTCCCCCCCCCCCAGTGCTCTCCCAAATTTCCCGTTTTTCCATTGGAAAAACTCAAATAAGAGGGGTGGGGCTTTTCCTCCCAGACCTTCATCTCTCTGTGCGAGAATGACAAGGACCTTTGTTTTGATCTAGGGTGGCTTTTCTGATATTCTTAGTGGTGAAAACCTGAGTCATCTGAGGCAGGTTAGGTTAAGGTGCTTGGGAGGAGCTCACGCACGGTATTGACAAGAATGGATGGGAAGCCTGGATTGCGGCGGTGATCGGAACCCAGTCCTTAAGGCGGCACAGACTTCTGGCATCACATAACCTTTTTTCCCCCCCTGTCCTACCCAGCACCAATCCAGAGAAGAGCAGCATCGCCCCCTTCCGGAATCTGAAGCGGCCACTCCAGTTCCTGGGTCTCTTTGAGACCTCTCTTTGCCGTCTCTCCTACATCCCGGCTTACAAGGTAAGGCAGGAACAGAACAGAAAAAGACCGGTCTCTGACAGTTTTTGTGAAGAACAGGACAGGGGGTAGAGAGGTCTGATCTGTGTGTCCCCTCCCTCCTGCCTCTACGTTTCTCCTTTAACTGACTCTTAAGTGTGCGGACTCTAACCTGGGAGAACCGGGTTTGATTCCCCACTCCTCCACTTGCAGCTGCTGGATGACCTTGGGCAAGCCGTAGTTCTGACAAGAGCTGTCCTTAAAAGGGCAGTTCTCCAAAGAGCTCTCTCAGCCCCACCTACCGCACAGGGTGTCTGTTGTGGGGAGGGGAAGGGAAAGGAGTTTGCGAGCCGCTCTGAGACTCAGGTAGTGAAGGGCAGAATATAAATCCAATCTCCCTCTCCTCCTTCTCCT